ACTCACTGCATCAATGAGGCCCTTTCTTTGGCTTTCCAGCAATTCTCTACCCTAACGGTGACATCAGGAATCATTCATCAACAGGTTATTTGGAAAGCACAGGTTGGCAATGAACGCAGTTAAGCTGAGGCTGCAGTGGAAATCACAATATAGAAAGAACGAATAGAAATTCTGACAGCAAATAAAAATTTATGCAGTGTGATTTGGACTGCATCATCAGCTTAGCTGAATTCAATGCCGATTTGTGCTTCCCAGACCATTCCCATTGATTCCTCCGAAAGATTGATGATTGCTTATGGAACCGTTAGGATGAAAAGACTGGCTGAGAGAAATGCGGAGCAATAGCTCAGAAGGGCAGTGGCTAACACGGTAGCACTCGGAAAAGGTAGCTACGGTTCTATCTGGCCTGAGGTCTAGGCTTTGCAAATGCCTCATTTTCATTGTGATCGTATTTCACATAATACCCTGCCATGAGAAAAAAATTATAGACATTGAAAAAAAAGTTATGCATTGTGACTTATAATTCAGTGATATCGCAACTTAAGTAATTACAGATCCCTATGTACGTAAAGGTATTTCTAGCCATATTTGAGGCTTCACAATTCCATTGAGTGGAATCAAATCAAGTGGAGTTAAACACTAGTCGCACTCTCGCCTTTTAATAAGCATATATTCTATAAGCATATATATTCGGCCCAGCTTTATTCGATATGATATCATGTAAAAGGTAAAGAATAGAGCGTTTAACGTCCATCTATCCTTGAGAGATGCTTCGTGCTTTCGACTTCATTCGTATTATCGTAAGGATGATCGTATGCATGTTTGACCTATACAAAGACTAACGGTGGCGTTTCTATGTAAAAAGTCTGTTTTAATCTTCCATGAGGTTCATGCTCCATGTTCCAATCCCGGAGTGTTGGTGGCTTCGTTTGCCCGAGACGTGGGATTGAACCAACGGTACTATATGTGTTTCAAGGCACCTCTAACTGCTGACAAACACACGATCATCAAGCTAATCATATACGGAAGAAATTTCAGCGAAGCTGACATGTCTGATAGGTGCAATCCTTGTTATGATGTGACCGGTCTCCTGATGTTAGGTTACTTCCATGCACACCAGTGACTTACTGCTTTCTTTTAAATTTAATGTGCATATTAGTCCAAGGTTGCACCGATAGATTAACCAGACGATTTTCATTCTCGTTATATTCTGCTACACCAAACTTTCAGACATTTTCTATTCTAAATGAAAGTGAGTTTTTCTGTGATGCAGGCCGAACGACTCGATATGCGATCCATGAGATCTGTGATACATGAGTCGTTCGATATATATTCAATTAAGAGCCTCAGATGAACCACAATTAATTACGAAGCGCTATCATTGGCTCTTGTTGTTCTCTACCTGAATACAGCATCATTTACAACGGACAAATTTATCAACTGGCAGTTGATGAATAGACATAAAATGAAGTAATCAACGACCCATAATAACAGATTGTAATGACGCAACTTTCCATGCTGATGGTCAATGTTTCTCGAGAAATTAGGGACTGTAATGACCGCAAGTTTTTCAAATTTTATTCATTTTTACTTTATTAATAGCACCAATAATAGAACTAGACAACGAAGCTCGTCTGAAAAGTGGTTTTTTGTAAACCTGGATACTAGGATACTTGGATGGTCCGTCCTTATTGGTTGTGCGGGCCCCAGTATAATCTCCATTTTGTCGGAGTTTCGCTAGTTTATCCACTGTGGTTCCCTGCACTTTCGAGGTCAGCCTGGCCAAAGTCTTCTCCAAGTCGTCACCTTGAGGAACAGGGGGAGATTTCCCACCATGCGACTAGTTTCATACCAGAACGGTGGTGGAGCCTGGTTTTGATTTACTCTTAACTGGGCTTCATGATGGAAACGCTGGACTCTTTTTCAACTTAGGAGACCCTGCCAGAGGATGAATGCTCCGCTGTACATCGCAGTCCGACACACAAAAACACTTCCCAGCCGCGATAACGTGGTAAACCGTTTGGAGGTTTCTGTAAACTATTAAGTGCAACACATAATAGCTTTCTATAGACGACATCTGTCATAGCCTTTGTCCTTGATGAGCTATCGATAGAACACTAGAAGTATTCCAAAAAGATAAGTAAGATATAAGTCTTAAGTAAGGTAGACAAGTGAAAGTATCGCACATTGATATCAATGCGTACGGACGCGTAAGGCCAGAGTTATCGATGGCGAAGAAGAATCTCGGCTAGTGCGACGTAAGAGACTCATTCATATTATATACCTACTCTAAAGTTTTACATGATGAGTGACCGTAGGGTTCCGTATGCATGTATATGACTATGAACGCTGCCACCACTACGTGGATTCCGATTCCGGATTACATCATTTTCACCTAACATTGCTGCATAGCCGGCCGGATAAATGTCACTGATTACTTCAATTCAGCGCCTACTAACAGTACTATTAATTGTCTTTTCTCTTTACTCTCTATGGTATATACTTGTCAAACAGGACATCATTGATATGGATCGAATTCAACGAAGACAGCGAAAACGAATCAGTAAGTCTCCATTAACCTACACAATGACTTGTCGGGACCAGTGCATCTGGATAGTGGTTTAACCTTCAAAGAAGATCCTATACCAATTTGCCGAGCTCGGATGAGGAAAAGGACCCAACCAGAGCGCAGAGTCGAACCAACGACTCTATGTTTTGCAGTGTACTTCTAGTCACCACATTACACGTGTCCTTGTGGTAGTATGAGGATAAACAGTTACGAGATAGATATTTATCTCGTTATTTCAAATTTTTCAGACCGCGCTCGGCAACAAGCGGCTCGAATCCCACAGAAGCCGTCGATTGACTTGCCCCCCTAACAAGGATAAATGCTATAATCGGATACAGTAATCGTACTGGCAACCTCCTCTGTCTTCTACCTAGTGTGGGCCTTTTTACTAACTTCTACTTATAATGTAAACAGCCCTTCCCATTCATAAACATAGTGTGAACTTCTCCTAGTTATTATGACAATAACACTAAGCAAGAAACAACCCATTCTTGTACAGACGTAGATGGCATCCAATTCAATGGGTTCTCTTTTATGTTGTACAATCCGTCTTCACGTCAATTGTACGAATCCCAGCATTTCTACCATCCGATTCCTTCCCTCGCATCCGTCACCCACGAAGGTCTGGTAACTTTCTTTGCGTATGGGTTCGCCTGCAGATTGAAGATTTTCTTTTCATCATGGATGTCATTGAATGCTGGTCCAATCGGTTCTCCCTGGATTCCTGAAAAAGCCGGGGTAGAACGCCACCACTTGGATTGCAGAGAGTGATTCTTTCCTAAACAAATGTATGTGGTACCAATCGTCCGACCCAGGAGGGATGAAAGGATTGGTGAGGTCAAACCAGCAACGTGCCAGGTGATGATCGGCACCACTACCACTGCGCTGTCTCCTCAAACTCTACGCAAGAAAACCAACGATGACAGCTACATTGCTCCTGTAAATTCAGCCTTTCCGAAGGCATAGCAAACCACTAGTTTTCCTACAAAAACACTTCTCTGTTATTCTAGATGAGCAAATATGAGGTTATTATTGCAACATTTATTAATAGACAAAGCCATTCCTATCAACAACTCGATTCCATGGCTCAAGGGGCTACAACAGCCAAAAACAATCAATAATGTAACCATCAACTCTGCTAGTAACCACAATATCGACCTGCAATCGTAGGAGAGAAATACAAGCAACAGTATGTAAAATTTAGTATAAAAAACGGTAAAGTAGCAGTTACAGCGCTTCAGAAAAAAATTTAGAACAGATAGAACTAAACTCATTAAACCGAGATCAAACACGATTTCACAAAATACGAAACCTTAAGTTGAAAACTACTACCTCAATAGGATAACTTGCCAGAAAATCAATGATGATATTGACACCTCTAATGTAAATTCCTTTTCCAAAGCACAGCAGATCATAACTTATCCAACAAAGCCATTCCCATTACCACGAGAAAAAAGATAAGCAGCCCATGTCACAAGAACATAAAAAGTTCAAATTTACCGTAAACCACAAAGAATTCGTCAATCCGTTGCGAGTGCAAAAGAGATAGAAACGACGAGATGAAGACTAATGAAGCAAACACTCCTTTAGAACAAAGAACACGTGTGTACTACTAAATCACAATGTTAAAGAACTTCACGAAAAAAGTCCACAAGGAAAGAATCTACGAGGAAAAAAGTGAGTTAGACGCAAACAAATCAGCAACTAAACATTACAGCAAAACGCTTACGCTGCGTCGGAAGTCAAAATTTCAATAAGTTCGGCTCCTGTCACGTGGGGTGGAATGTTTAAGCAAAATTCGCAGTTATAAAACTCAGTGATAATTCGTCCCTTGCACAGAAACCGCAACGTATCTCTGAACATTTGTCTTGTATCAAATCACTATCGTAGAAATACGAAAGCATTTCGAGTGAGTGGTTAGAATACTACTCTTCTACATTTAATACTTACTTCCTTAGATACTTGGACGGCCCGTCCTCACTGGTTGTGTGACCCCGGCATAATCACCACCCCTCGGAGATTTGCTGGTTAAGCCAATGTGATTCCCTAGAATCCCGAGGTCAGCCACGCCAGTCTGCCCTAGCTCGTTACCACCCCAGGTAGTCGTCGTCCTTGTCGATCAAAGGGAGATTTCCCACCATGCGGCTAATTTGGTACTAGGAGGGTGACAGATCCTGGTATTGATTTACTCCAAGAAGGGCATCCCGATGCAATGGAAACGCCGAACTCCTCAGCTTGGGAGACTCTGCCGTGGAGACGCTGTACATCGAAGCCCGACACCTAAGAACACCTCCCAGCCACGATAAGGCGGTAAACCATTGGGAGGCCTCTACATTTAATACCTAAATAATTTATGAATAACGGAGATAATACAGGCTAGTTTCATCAAGAGGAAAGACGTCATATTTATACGTGGAAATGACTATTCATCTTACACTATCGCCCTCTTATCGAGTTGGCTCTTCAGTTGTGCTGGAAGTTTAACATTTTGTATAACCTCATCCACGTCCACTCGCCAAAAACTACCGTTGGAATTCTGAAAACTCGCAACATATGGATACTAACACGAAAACCTTTGCCATAAAAAACGCATTAACCTGAATCAAATGATCTTTCAACAGTTTGTTATTCTGCAACCAAAGTATGAACGCTTGTTTTATCGTTTCGCGCTCCAGTATAAACAGGGAATTTTTCAATACCGTTTCTCCAACCTAAAACAGCAAGGCTAACAAAGTTTTTAACTATATTATATTGTACTGAAATAAGCCCGAAACGGCACAGAAATCTAACCTTTTTATAAACCTTTGCGCTAGGATGTTGTACCATCTGCGCCGAACTCATTTGCTTCCGAAAAATTGTTCCAAATTGCGTAGCACCTCCAAGACGAGTGAAGTCTTTAAAATTCGCATGGAGTTGGTTAGTGCTTGGTTCATACTAAGGAAATGAACCTTTTATCTAACGCAAATTTTACGTTAAAACTAATGAATAACTCCTGGAAGAGACCGAATAGAATGATAAACATTTATGATCAATTACTCCAAAAGGAAAATAAAATGAAATCCTCTAAAGTTTTCATACTCACTATGAACATTTCCTACATAGTCGATCTCATAGTCATAAAGGGACGCAAACTCACTGATAATTCCGTGCAACCTGAAATTTCATTCTGAAAGAAGAAAAACTTTGCGGAACTGCGCAAAACCTACCACAATCGAAAATCCTGTCGAGAAAACTCGAACTTGTGATCATCGTGGCGAAACTGGCCACGCGGAAGACCAAAAGCTTCGTTATAGTCATGATTTGGTGTTGAAATGATGAATAATTCCGGCTGAACATTCAGAAGCACTGACCGAACGAATCGTGTTGCGTCTGCTTTAGGAATGTGTTCCACGCTAAAGTTCACTTTCACGATATGGTACAGTCAACTTATAAAAAGACTACAACTGTGTTATAAAAAATCGCTTGATGGCTCTATCGCTTATTTTTATGTATTACTTATTATGAGAAACCTTTCGTATCTGAAGCAATCGTTCCTCGGCTAAGAGTGCCGAAGCCAACCAAATCCTATTTCCTCTTGTAATAAGTTACGTTTTAGGCTCTGCTCACTTCCTTTCCATGGAAAGTTGGACATTAGCTTAGCAAATAATTTAGGAAAGGTCTTGATTGTTTGTCTTGAAAAAGAGAAACGTACACTTCTGTAGAGCACACACATGCAGTGCCAGTCAGGCGCTCATCGTGTTCAAGAATATCACCTAAATTCACTTGCTAAATAGCAGGATACACAGATTTTATTTATGTAAGGAGTCGTGAGTTTACATGGCATATCCCATTTTCGCGGAATGAGGGCTTAATGTTAACCAACAGCGATAAACAGAAACGCACGCGGATTTAGAGAACGATCTCATTATCCCTACCAAACCAGGTTGACTTATGCCTTCCATATGCAAATACCTACAGTCACGCATAACACCGTAATGCTTCCACGCGGTTCAATTACATTTTATACAACAATGCCTTGGTGCAACTACGAATACCCAAGTCGCAAAAATGAACGGCTGCGGATAATCGATTTGGATCACTTCAGCTCTTAGGAAGGAAAAGGCACCAAAACGTTGGCCGAATGAGAGTTTTGTAACCACCACGTGGTGGCTCAACAAGCGAAGAAAATATTAACTGGAAAGTGCATAGATGGCGTATAGGTGCTGCCTCAAATACAATAGTACCATGTTTTCTTCACGAAAGCCTCACAAACTTTCGCTGAGTACACTCCAAGCTTAGGAAACCCGATGTAGTTAACCACTCATTCATAGCACTAAAAGAAATCCTTTAACATTAACACTAAAAGATCCCCCCTAACTATATCAACTTAGAGTGAGAGGAGTGCGATTAAGCTGCGAAATCTTCAGGATTCTTGGGCCCTCAAAATCTCAAAAACCTATAGTAACGTCCATGTGATGCAACCCAAGAATGCTATATATGGCTTCCACGGACTAACTCAGACAGCTAAACATCGTCCAGCAAACGCAATTTTAACACGGGAATAGTGATCAATGTTGGCTCCGGAGTTTGTCTACTTCTTTTTTTCCTAAAATAGTGACCACTTACGTGGATGAATAACAAAGTCGATACAACAAACTCGTTTATGACAGGGCTAAGAAGGCAAGTGATTTAAAAGTCCCCGACACACTCCAGAATTTAAAAAGCTTCACATTTCTCGATATGTCGCAAACAACTGCTAAAGTTCGAGCATACGAACTCTTGAAGGGAAGTAGTAAGCAAGCACTCCTCAAGAAAACAGTAGCTTTTTAGACTTTAGCCATTACTCGTCAAAATGCATTAAGGAAAACAAGCAGCTAAAACTGTGACGTATATAACATCTGCTACTATCCATAACCTACCTGCTGCTTGCTCCCTATACGAACTCAACCTGAATCGTCCTCAACAGAATTTATGAAACATTAGACATAGGACAGCCACATGAGTAACCATTCTCCCACCAAAGATTCAGCACAATGCACGAAATCCATACCATTAGAAAAATCATCGGTGTGCAAGGAGAATACAATGCACTGCTTTATTCCGCTTCTACTGATTTAAAAAAAAGTCTTTGACTCAACTGAGAAAAGTTGACGTGGGAACTCTAAACAACCAAGCCGCCTCTGCTCAGTAAAAAAAAGGACTTTTCACGTGCCACATAACAACTTCGCAATAAGAAACTCCCACGACCGACTTTCTATTGACCTCGGCATTGACCTCACCATCAAAATTCACAATCAGAATTTTACCACGCTACAACGACGTTCCATATTCTAAAACGACGTTGTGGCACATGTGGCGCAGTGGTCTGGCGGCGCCCTGCGACACCCACACATGGGATCGAGCTCCGCTCACGTGGCTCACCAAGCCTTCCATCCCTCCGGGGTCGTTAAATTAGTACCAGACTTGTCTGGGAGGATAGCAGCACTGGCTCGATACATCGGTAGACCACCGCGAGTCATTGTGAAAGCCTGATATGCATTCAGTCACCTCCAACGATGCTTAGTGAAGCCGAATTCATAACGCATTCTTCAGGGATTGATCAAGACAGAGAGCTTTATGCTTTTATAACGACGGTATCGATAAATTAGAGACAGGAATTCGATAAAGCGGTGTCATTTTGAGGAAACTATTGCTTGAGAAAACTTCGACGAAAACAGGGATAAGATAACAGTGAAAATCAATAGCCAGGAAGTAAAACATTTCCGCTTCGTTGACATTGCAATTCTTATAAGGAAAAAGCGGAACAAACTCTTGAAGATTCCAGCATCAAGTTCGAAATACCGACCTTTAGGGGAAGAATAAAAACGACATTCATAAAAACAGATTTGTACCTGATCCCCCACTCACGCTCGGCAGAACAAATACCTCCAAATCCCCAGCTGGGAGCATGTGAAGTTGGGAATTTAGCATGATGAATGAGCTAACTCCAACCGGATTAATAGAACGAAATGAGCGGCTTAGTGAGATCAGAAAATACGACGAAGAAGACAAGGCAGTCACAAGGCAGTCCCAGGTTCGCGTCAACCTCACTCCGCAACCCGTTCTTTCTCCAAGTGCGCCATTGAATCCTGGATAATAAACGGACAAAGCGGAGGCGCGATGGGGGTTCGCTAAGTCATCCAGGGAGTGTAACCAAAGTCCCTGTTATAACTAAGGAAGAATGAATTCGGAGTTATAACTGGCGATATCAGGATGCTAAAGCATACGCCAAACATCAAAAAATGACTGGGCCGAGAACATGGACAACAACAGCAAGAAATCGCGAATTAAAGTGGATACATATACCTTTGTATATTTCCAGCAGTACTGGAAACGAGAATGAATTGCATATGATCCTTTCATAATGACGTTCGGATGACCTAAAGTATATTCGTTGTCGTGACCTGACTTCAGTTCTTGCATTCAATGATTTCAGTACTTTCCACATACTGACCTGCATGTGATTTCTCCTAAATTGGTACGCCACACAAGACTCACTACCAAGGATCATGTCCATTACTATTTGTAAAGTATTCGTACTAACAAGAATCTGGATATAAATATTGTAGAAAAAGTCTACCTTACTTGAGTAATTTTAAACCTTTAGCTAGTTCATCTTCATCGATATCGACAGACAATACTCGCTCGATTCCCATTCCACCCAGCGACGTCATCAAGAATCGCTCCAATGATAACGAACCACAGCCAAGAACGGCCAACTTAACAGCACAAGCTGTTTTCTTATTCTTCTGTTTGCTCATTGTAAATAAAGCGTTAAGGAAAACGCATGCCCATATATAGAAAAAGACATTTGGAATTATGTAAATTGATATTTGATTACAAACGACAAAAGTGAGAACGAATTGAACTGGAACTGACTTTGCGAAATTTCTCTCCCGTACGCTCCATGTGAAATTCAATTTTGTTACGTACGAATTCATTACGTTGATACTGAAGGGGAGGTGTGAAGAATGCCGGCTTACTGACCACTTCATCGTGATCATGCTGCAACATAACATTACTTGAATACTTGAATAGCTGGATGGCCTGTGCTCACCGATTGTGCGAGCCCCAGCAATAATTTCCATTTCTTTTTTCGAGTTCTGCGTGTTAAGCCATCGTGGTTCCCTGAAGTCCCGAGGTCAGCGTAGCCAAAACTTCCCCATGTCGTTGCCACCACAGGCAATCGCCGCCTTTGTGGATCAGAGGGCAGAGAGAGATTTGCCACCATGCGACTAGTTTGATACAAAAACGGTGGTGGATCCAATCGTTGGTTTACTCTTAGCTGGACTTCCTGATGGAAATCCCGGACTCGCCCTCAGCTTGGGAGGTCCTGCTGGTGGGATTAATGAATGCCCTGGTGTACATCGTAGTCCCACACTCAGGAACACCTCCCAGCTACGATGAGGCGGCAAACCGTTGGAAGGGCAATACAACACTACTGGTTGAAATATAAGAACATGGGTCGAAGTCACAGACATATTACAACCAAAACTGAGCACTGAATGGCGTCCGTGGACAATACAGTAATCTTCACGTGACAATTTCTCCACAACGAAATCGAGATCAGTTCTTAATAATCTTCTCCGGTGTAGTACAACACCTTACGATGGTGTATCTAGTATTTCTTTTTTATTTTGTATAACCCGTAATCACATATACTGCTACAATCCCTAGACTTCTTGTCTACTTACTTCGATACTTGGATGACCTGTCCTCAATAGTTGTGCAGGCCCCAGTATAATCTCCACCTTTTAGGAGATTTGCTGGTTTAGTCATTTGTAGTTCTCTAGAATCTCAGGTCAGCCTAGCCAAAGTCTGGCGCAAGCCGTCACCACCACAGGCAGTTGCAGCCCTTGTTGATCAAAGGAAGATTTAATTTGATACCAGGACGGTGTTAGATCCTGGTATCGGTTTACTCTTAGCTTTCCTGATGGAAACGCCGGACTCCTCAGCTTGGGAGGCCCTATCCCCACTCTATATCACAGTCCGACACCCAGGAACACCTCCCAGCAACGATGAGGCGCCAACCGTTAGGAGAGACTTCTTGTACTCGAGACGATTCATTTTCCACGCATTCATCGTCCACAAAGGTCTTCGAACATTTCGCAAGTGGTTTCGGCGGTTGCATGACGATTTCGTGATTTTGTCTTCTTTATGAAAGTCGTAGAATTCCTAGAATTCTGGTTGAGTCAATTCCCCTTGCAATCTTGGAACTAGCCGAGCTGAGACGTGCCCACGTGGACTGAGAGAGAAGGTAATTGGAGAGCAAGTTGAACAAGGACCCTGCTTCCTGATGAGCACCATAATTAGCTACTGTGCAACTGCATCCCCTTCAAATAATGCATAAAATAAACCGTAAAAAGAAATTATGAAAAAATCGAACACCTCCATAAAATCAGCTTTCTTCATCTTCATTTCAATCGGATTTGCCTCAATATCTCGATAAATCGTCTCATAACTGTGCAGAATACGATCCTTAAACAAAGGTCTTTGGCAAAGAGCTTACTGCCATCTTATTGACTATGGTGACTTCCCTAAACATCAACGTGTACCTCTAGAAATCGTTAGCAATACTGCGAAACAGGAGCCATTGCACTTAACTCTTACTAAGTCAAAGTATTTCTTTGCTTCCTGTATCATCCTTTGCATTTTCCCCTTTATCACAAATGAATAACTGTATGGTATCTTTAATAGACTGAAATTTACTTCACTTTACACGAGCTCAGACCACGTGTTGTACGGATTCCAGCACTTCTTGCAGTTGATTCGTTCCATCGCATCCATCTTCCACGAAAATTTTCGAACCATGCGTGTATATTGGGCTTCTGCTTGAGGATTTTTTCGTCTTCGTCACAAATGTCGTCGAATGTTGATCGAATCGATTCTCCGTCGAACTCGGGCACGGCCGTGTCCGCTAAGATCCTCTAAGGCGTTTCCAAATCTACGTCATAAGCAGGTGCCATTTTCTGTGAATTGGAGAGATTCTTACTGATCCCAGAGTACCCGACAGCATTTTGTCGATCGCGGAGGGATGGGAGGTTTTTTAGATATAGAATGGGTCCGCATCGCCTTGCTCGAACCGAACAGCAAAGCTAACATTTCACCATCGGCATCAGTAGTTTTGAAATGTATCTTCAGAAATCTTGAGAAAATTGATGCCTTCGATTATAGAACAGAAGAAATACACGGTGCTTAAATTAAGTAACATAGAAAGCTTACAAAGTCATGATGCACAGGGTAGCCATCACCCGGAAAGCAGAAAAGAGATGAATCCATAAGCTTTAACTGAAAAATATCCTACGTTGTATAAGATACCTTCAGTTGCAAAATAGTGAACATTTGTCCGGGAATATTACAATACCATGAGTACTAGAACAACGTTCTACGTTTCCACCAGTACGAATACAAAGCACACATTAACATGTATTATAAATACCTCGTTTTCCTTTTCAGCAAACGCGAGGTTGTTATTCAGCACATGTTTATTTCCTTGCAAAAAAAGAACGCACATAACACAACGGTAGTGGACGTTCCTGCTGCATCGTCTTCCTCAGCCTGGAAGGGCACACTTGCTAACTTGCTAGATTAAACCCTTCAACAGCACAAACAGAAAGATGAAAATCTAAACGATAATTACACGATCAGCAGCTTCTCGAAGAACCTACCGTTTTTTCACCCGCCTTCCACCAAGGAAGAACAAATGCTTAGAGTCGCATATGGCTGATGGCTGCACCGCACCTCATCAAAAATCAATTCTGAGATACGGCGCTAGATCACGTGTTATCTCTAACCATTCTTCCCTGCTACTCATTTTCGGATCCTTGGCATTTATCCAAAAACCTTCGAGGAGTTTGCGCAAGAGATGAAGGGAAGTTTGAAGTCTAAATACGGTTAATAATGCCCCAAGAAAGTCTAGAGTCACCGTACATGGAGGCATGACAATACCTGAAAGTGCGCGTTTAGCCAACGTGCAAGCTTCTCGAGGCTTTTTAAGGCATGCCAAGAATCCGAGAATGAGTAGCACGGAAGAATGGCTAGAGATGATACGTAGTCTAGCCCCGTATCTCAGAATTGATTTTTGATGAAGTGCGGTACAGTCACCAACCATATGCGACTCTAAGAAGTTGTTCTTCCTTGGTGGAAGGCAGCTAAAAAACAAAGGGTTTTTCGAGGTGTTGATCGTGTAATCACCATTCAGATTTACACCATTCTGTTGATGCTGTTGAACCGTTTAACCTAGCAAATTACATATCAGTGTACCTTTCCGCCTCTGAAGAAGGCGATACTGCCGCAGCGTTAGCTACCGTTGTGTTTTTGTATGTGTTCTTTCTGTACGGAAGTAAACGTGTGCTGCATAACAACCCTGCGATTGCTGAAGAAGAGAACGAGATATTTATTACCCGACACCGAGGCTAATAGAAATCTCTATTTTGGGAACTGTTAACATGTATTATTTGAAAAAACTGCGGCGAAATTTAAAACGGATTACGGGGATGCTCACAAGAGAGTCTCTGAGAGAACTAGTCTAAACATTCGTCAACTTACGACATTCGTTGTTTACGCTGCCAGCCGCTTTAGTGTCCAGAAGTGTTATGCTTAGGCTCATAAAAAAGCAATGACGCAGACAGAAGGGGCTGTATGGAGAAACTAGACGTAGCAATGAAAAGCATAGACATAACACACAGAAAGATACGTATACAGTCTGAAGAGCCCAAGACGTCGCACTACGGCCTTCAGTCGACGTGAGTCGCACGCTTGACAACGTGCAGCCTCAAATCCGAGAGGATGTTCTAAACTTAATCGTCGGATTAATCGATTCGCCTCATAAGACAGAAACGTCCTTCGCGGAAGGTAAGTAGTATCAGTAGCGATTGATTGTCGCTCGAAGAACTTTATAATCAAAAGTTACACTCTTCGTAAAAGAGCAATTGGTACTGCCAGAATTGATGTAATCAAATAAACTGTTCCCACTACCGACTTTCTATTAACCTCAGCATTGACCAAATAGTTCTCCTTATTCCTGTTGAGCAAGCACGATGTGCTACTTTATCCTTTGTCCCGGTAAAGCTAACATTCCGATAGCACCGCCTTCTTCAGAACCTGAAAGGATGACACGCAATTTATTGCCCCAAACGCTTCAATAACACAAACAGAAACATAAATCACTTGCGTTTCTGTAACTGAAGCGTCTGGCATAATAAATTTCACATCAAAATACCTTTAAAGGCTCTAAAGACGGCGAAATCCGCTGAAATCAACTTTACTGGGACAAAGAATAAACCTCGTGCTTGCTCAACAATATCGAAAATAGACGACCACAATGATGCTGAGATATTTCCAAAATTCCGAACCGCAGGTGTCTGCGGTGAGGTAAGAACTCGCTATTACCCTTACTGGGGGCTAACGCGTTTACCACCACACCATGCGGGTCTTTCGTTTCTCCTGCCTCTCAGCTAGTTCTATCGATCAATGCCATCAGCAATCACCCGTCAACGGGATTTATTTGGGGAGCTCAGATCGGTAATGAACCCAATTAAGCAGAGGCTGTAGTCTAAATCACAATGTTAACTTTTTATTTACTGCCTATAACAATCTTTCACGGTAGGATATGTGTGACTCAACCAACCCCGCTGGCGGGTGATTGCTGATGGCACTGATCAATACTACTAGGTGAGAGACAGGAGAAACGAAGAACCCATGTGGTGTGGTGGAGAACTCGTTAGTCTCCAGAAAGGGTAACAGCGTGTTCGTTCGCCACCGCAGACACCTGCGGTCCGGAATTTTGCAAATATCTTATTGTTGCAAATATTGTTTCGGTCGGAAAACCTTCAAAACCAACTAGGTGATATGCCGCATAAGTTCGTGAAAACCAAACGACTTAGACTTAAAAATCCCAGGGATATTCTCTAACTATCCGATCAAATCTTCCAATAGGGAAGTTAGTAATCAACAAACATGTATAGCTTTCACGTCTCAGGAATCATTGCATTGAATTCATACTAGAGTTCGTTAATATGAAATCGACTATGCGCATTGGTTTCAATGCACTTGCTTTTCAGTGGTTTGTTTTGCCGCGCAATGATGTTGTGGTACATTCTTGTCTTCATTTGACTGCTTATACAACAACACAAATCTAAAATTGGGCTAATTTTTGAAAAAAAGAAAGTTGAGACAGAAAGTTGAAGAATTAAGGAACTGTCTCTTGAACAAGTGTGTTAATCAAACCAACTGTCGTTCAGCCCCAAAAATGGACAAATGGGAATAATACTCACTTAGTAGTAATACTAGGGAAAAAACACCTAGTAACATCGTAACGAAGTGGAATAAGAGGTAAGAAGAAAAGCAGGGTTAGCGTTCGCATCACGGTGCCGGCACGTTCAGTTAAGTGTTGGCCATCATGTGTCAAATAACGTGCTCTAAGCGACAGAATTCACGAATAGAGCTAAAAACCTCACTAGAGCACCTCAATGCAACTAGATGTCGTTGTGCAAAACCAATAAGTAGCCTACACTTACAATAGGAAGTTTGTGAGGCGGACGGTCATGTTTTATGAACCAACTGAATAGTAGTGAGCCGTAGAACACCGCTGTGGCGATGTGGCGGACAGGGTGGGTCGAGCGGGTCGAGAGGGTGCTTGACCGGCTTCGTCCCGGCCGGCTCATCATGTGCTCGTCTCCTACCTCCAGATCACTTTCTGGATTGATTTGTTTCTCAGATATTGATCGACGATCGGAATACTCATAACACTGCTTTTTCGCCATTTTAAGCGCTCTGCATTTGTTGTTCGCTTTGACATCTCCGCTTTAGGGCAGTTCCCGATGACCGTTCAAGCCACTGAGCAGCCACGCGTTTTTCGAAGGAACGATCCGGGAACGAAAAGAGACGTTAGTGTTTCTTTTAATATTTCTTGGACAACTGTGTTTTAGAATACAAACAAAACGTGTGCAATAGCTAGTGCGATACCGATTTTTCTGGCTGAAAGTACATCCGTTCTCATTTCTCATGTCAATATGAACAACACAGTGGAGTTTTAGTCTCGAAGAAAATTTCGTCATGTAAAATAAATTGCGAAAGATATGAAAGGACGAGGAAGGTATCGGTCTGGTAGTGATGTTGCACTAGAATGTGAGACTTCGTTGTGATCTCTATGAGAAGCTTAAGCTCCCTGATAGTATGTGGTCATTAAATCTGTTCCTGCTACTACCTATTGTTTCAGGACTGGTGTAAATGGCCACCTATGTCATTCGACGACATGGACTCTACACTGAATGTTCAGCAATACATTCAACAAACTATTCAACAGAGTCCTTCTGATATTGGTGTGTCTTTCGCATGTATAGACGCTTGCTTTTCTATTTTTTCTTTGCAAGTTCAAGCATATACTTGTCTCTCAACTACCTCTGGTTGCTTCCAGCCTGCATTGTTTATCGCCTATCGTAATGAAGTGTTCCTGGGTATCATGTCATTGTAAATGCATCAGCAAACAGATGGTTCACCTCTCTGGGAGTTCATTCGGGTCGCAGAAGTGTCCCACATCTTCGTACGAGTGGCTGTATCAAAGTGCTTTTACTCTGAGAATCGTTATTGTTCTTGAAAAAAGTTTAATAACGAAGCAACGACTCTTCTCCAAGCGATGCCCTGCGACCGATCCGTGGTAACGACCTGGGAACTAAGGAACTCGAGAAAGAATATTGCCTGGATAACAAAATTCTTAGGATGAAAATGGAAATGGGGCTGCACTATTAGTGAAAACAAGCCATCTAGATATCTTTTTAAGCATAGAGTTTAATTCAGACTTGATTCTCACACCACCTCCTGATCTTGACGATGGAGTTTGGAAATACGAACATCTTCGACAGTTCTGCTTACAGCTTAACGGCTTGGCATTCATGTTACAGGTATACAGGCTTTTTCGGCCGGCCTTAGGCCTTTAAAAATTGATGTTTTGGGCCTTGTACCAAAATAGGAGGTCCTAGTTGTCTTTTAACTGTTTCCTTCTGGAATTTTGCTGTTTGCTCTATTTTGTTACTTCTACTAGGTTGACTTCCTATGTTTGTTATGAACTCTCCTTGTTTTAGGAAGAGTGTAGTCCAGAAACCTGTATACAGATGACGGCAACTGAACAATGGATTTTCCTTTGTGCTGCCCACAAAAATCCGAAGGAGGTCTGTCCTTTCTATCTATGTATCTTCTAATTTTCTTAGGAAATAGCTTGTACCGAAAACCTCTCATTTAGTGCTCCGCTATTGATTATACAAGGCATACACTTGATGGTGCAGCTTCGCTGCTTAATAGTAACAAATACTTTCCTAGTAGAATAAATATTAAAGTAAGTAATGTGTCATTATTACCTGGGACGAAAATCCCTTTACATTTAGTGGTTAATTGGGCAAACAGTGTTTTAGGAGTCGTCGTTGTCGAAATTGGGATCTGTTTGTCGTCGAGTTTATCGGATATTCTCGCATGCTTACTTTCATCATAGGCAGTTATTCGATGAATTCGAGAATAGCACTCACCTCTGCAAACGGTAGTTTGAATTTTATTACTTTGATGTGCCTATCTTTAACGTGTCGCTTATGGCACATTGGTCGAAGGTGCCCTGCAATACACCTGGGATCGATTCCCGAGCCCACGGTCCACCAAGCCTTCCATCTTTCTGTGGTCGGCATGGATCGGTAGGCCACCACGAGTTATTGTAAAGGCCAGATAAGCATTCAATCACCAACGATCCTTAATGAAGTCGGAGGCATGGCGCTTTCCTAAGGGATTGATCAACTCCGAGAGCTTTATCCTTTTTTATAGCACCTTGATTGCTTTGTATTAGTAATTTTTTCCTTAAATAGTTCTTGTTCCAGTTTCACAACCTATGTCACAAAATACAACCTCATGGCTCAAGAACATCTAATCGTTCCAATCTTACCAAGTCAACAATCGTAGAGGATATGTAGCTCATAGTTTTGCATTCCTAGTGGCATTGTCGTCCCTAAAACGCTGTCACGAGCTAACTACTCAACCTTACATCGATTTCTAACCAAAAGTTTATTGCTTAGTCCATTAACTAATATCTTCTTTTGCTTCACGTTACCACTTGTCAGATCACCATGAAAATTAATAAACATTGTAAAAACAGCTGCTCTCTTACTCTTCGTTCGTTCCATTTGTTATGTCAAAATGCTCTGAAGCTCTTACCGATAAGCTGAAACTTTTAACCGGTCATATGGTGCAGACAACTGATTTGAACTAATGGCTGTGCGAACATCATTGTTCCTTTCATAGCTTTCACCCTTCTAAGTAAATTTACTCATAAGTGTTGCTAGAAACATCATTATATATAAGTTTCCATTCCGCTTAGTTACTTTATTGTACTTACTCAATTTAGCAACGATAACAGACTTGATATTCCTTATGAATTTTGCTAATAAATCATAGTCCACAATCAATAAGTCCGTGTTCTTTTATAGGAAATGCGATTTCCTGTTTTTGATAGAAATCCCCACCATTCCATGACAATAGCACCATGGGAATGTGTTTGACTTAGCGCGGTTGGTACGATTACAGTAAGAAATAGTGTGCGAAGATAACAAAAACTGGTGAGTGTCTATGCCCTACAGGCCAAAAGTTTTGGCTGAGGAAAATATTCTTCAGCTCTTAGCGACACGGCACGAATACCGACCGATTCTGATGCTTTGTGGGGAAACTCCGGTCTGTGGGTGGACATTAGGAATGCAATTATCGTGAGGAAAAGATAGGTTCTTGGTGGACTAGACAGTCACGCTCATCGAACTACCATCTCCAAGTACTGTGACTATACCTGTCTAGGTCGGGAAGTGAACATGGTGAACCACGTAGCTCCCAGACGGAGAAGACGAAACGACCTGAAGAGGTTACAGAAACATTAAACGAAAATCAAGGAAGATAAGATCATCCGATTTAATGTCTATCCATTAATCCGCGGTTTATGCTTTACCCACCTTTCCGTCATTTTTCTTTTTGGGCAGCTACCGATTAGTTTTTGGTAATAAGAAAACTTGGCAGAGCTATAGAAGGGACTTCTCTATACCACCGGAGAATACGCCAATAAATTCTCCATTCCTCACTGTCGTGTGCAGGAGTAGTCCATTAAGTTCTGCTCACCATTGTTGAGCACCATTCCTTTCTTCTAGGGTTTTCGTGAAGTACTCTCATCACTGGGTCGGTGGTCTTCCTGCAGTCCGTTAGAGATCCCGAGAAATCCAGTCAGTAACGGCTCTTGTCCATCAGTTGTCGTTCATACATAGTAGGTGTCTGGCCCACCATATCTTCAACAGTTTGGCGTATACGCTGGAATCTTTGACTTCTGATCGTTGACGTAGGTTGGAGCTTCGGATCCCTTCTCTCACTTGTGTGACACGGGATACCTCTAGCATCGTCCTTTCGACTGCGCGTTCTATAACGCTGAGTGATCTTCTATCCTACCATTGTAGCGGTCAGGTTTTTAACGCATACGTTAAGGCAGAAAGAATCGTAGTGTCGGAAAGGTAGACAAAGCATCGGGTGTTCTTTGTTCTCTTCACTTAATCCTCGACGCTCTTGAAAGCTCCCCAAGGCAGTCGCTTTCTTATATTCAACTCTGGAACTAAGTCGTTTGTCATGTTGATTTCCCGGCCTAGATAGACGTAGCTGAAGCATTCCGAGATGTTCAATCCATTAAGCATGAATAGGACATACGAAACCAATCTGTCCCCTCAGGCACATCGTTCTTCTGGGATTTAGTCGAAGACCGGTCTCTCTATAAAAGTTATCGAAGTTAAGAAGCATTCGCTCCGCTTGGCTAATGCGTAACGTTCTGAGAACGATGTCATGAGCAAAGCGAAGATGGTGTAATTGTAGACCATCGATTTTCACCTCAAGAGTATACGTAACGTTTATTAATTATTTTTCCATTTTCAAAAATTTTTAGGACTATTATTCTCGAAAGTTGGAAATGAAGTTCAAATCTCTTCGATCTCCAACACAACCGTAGCAGATGCAAGCATCAGCGTTACACTGAGGGACACCATCGCTTCCACTTCAACGAAATTCCGATTGCTCAGTCGTGGAGTTCGGAATACCAACCTCGACGAAGACAAACAGAAGAAAATACGTTCTGTGTGCGAATGAGAATTTTGTCGTTGGAGATTAAGAGGACCTGTATCTTATTGGCATGAATCTGTGAATTGTAACGGATATGTGGATTCTGATGGCCTTCATTTCACTTGATAAAGCTCATTATGAGCTTTACGAGTGAAAACAATTTTCCTAAAACTCCCCTCTGACGTTGAGCTTGTTTAAATCGTGCAATTTTTCAGAAACATCCTAAGCGAAATTTGATTTTTTAAACTTCTACCGCGTAGGCAACAACCTCAAACATCAACCATGGACTGGGGAAGGCCATCGTGTCCAGTTGCACTTAGTATCACTTATTAAATCTCTCAGTTGCTCGAGATATAAACTTCGATGAAGGGAAACGAGAAGAAACGATTTTAGGTTCCATGGATCCAGAATTCCATTGTGGTAGAGTAAAGGAAATCATATTTTGCTGGAAAGGTCCGTAGATGCTATCGGCTTTTATTTCAAATGTTAGAATTCAGTATACGATGAAATATATTCGTTTTAACGCTTGGTGAAAAAACGACGACGGTCCTGAAGTTTAAACCAAAGTATATATATATATATATATATATATATATATATATATAATGTCGCGTAAAGCGCAGTGGTTAGGGGGGCTCTGCAATATACATGAGTTGGATCTCACCCCCAGCCTCACGAAGGCCCCCATCCATCCTAGGTAAGAGAACTGGTACCAGACCTGTCTAGAAGAACAGTAGCACTAACTCGACATTTCGGCAGGCCACCACGAGGGCCAGATATGCATTCAATCACCTCGAACGATGTTGATGATGGCTAATGCATGGCCAGTCTCTCAGGAATCCATCAACATCAAGAACTTTATTTTTTATCTTTCTTTATATATATATATATATATCCAGATATTTATGTCAAGGAATCTGTGGATCATTATTTTTTCTACATGATTCGTCATCACATCTACTTTGCGAATGCCAGCATTTCTTGCGTTCAATTCGTTTCCTCGCATTCATCGTCCACAATAATCTTTGACGATTTCGCGTGTTGTTTTAGTTGCTGCTTGAAGATTTCGTTCTCTTCATGAATATCGAAGAACGCTGGTTGAGCCGATTCTCCTTGCAGTCCTGGAGATAAATGAGTGAAGGTATTCCCATGTGGACTGTACGAGGGCGTAAGGTACGAGGTCGAACCCACACCTTGCTTCCTGATAGACCAATGAACTATTCACTACGCTACCTACTACCCCGAAATCTTTACTTACAATAAGCAGTTTTCCTTACTCTGGGATGATAACCTGATTTTTTGAAACCTACGAAAGCTATTTCTTACATTTTTTTGCTGTCAGGACTCGTACTTCAAACACGGAAGGAACTGAACAATCGACATTTCGTAGATTTCATTCCAGTAGGATGCTATGGTTTTCTCTGGTGTATCGCTGGATTTTGCTCTTGCCACAATCCCGTTAACAATTTTAGAAACTTAAATCTCTTTTAATCAGTATCGGGTGCGACGAGTTAAACTTGAAATTTCCAACTATTTCCGTTCATGAATGCGTTAACTTCAATCTGAGTGTCCACGTCGTCCTGCTAGCTATGAGTTTGAATCAATTCACGGCTTCTATTTTTGTGCTAGTGTAATAATTTCGATGTGGCATCGTCGCAATAGGTTATTTTATCAGTCTTCGTTTTCTTTGTCCTTACTTTTTCAGCTGTAGCATTCGATATAGCCTTCGACCAAGGTTGGATTATGGCGTATTTTCTTAAAAATTAGTGGTTTATAAACGTAGGTGGATCTTATTCGCATGTCGACTGGACTTCGCTACTCTAGTTTTTCGATCCTCTTCATTGTCTCGTTCCCATTTACATAGAGTCATCTGAGATCTATATGTTAGTTGCGCTGAGGCTTGAAGATCACTCTCTAATCACCGACGTGTCCATTGCTTTCCGAGAATGGTTCTCCTTGTGTCGGTACGAATGTTCGAACATAAGAAAAGCATTTAATGATGTGCTTATTGCAGATAGCACTTATACATGAACGAGACAGCTGTTGATGCCTTAGTGGCACTTGGATTTCCTTTGGCTCTCCGCACAGGGTTGGATGGAGTGGACGATGTCCTACAAAATGATCTACGGTATGGAGATGTGTCTGAGATTTCTGGAAATAATTGCGCAGGAAAAACTCAGGTAATTCTGTTTGTAATCTTGTTAAAAGATTCTCTTTGCATGTTTCCTTTTGTTCCTTGCGAAAGTGGTGAAAAAGCGATATTTTAAGCGCAATGTTCTTCAGCTGTGTTATGCATTAGTGGCGAATATGTTGCTCAGCACGGAATTTGGTATTGTATGGATAGATTCGAATGGATCATTTCGCTCATTTCGGCTCATGGAGTACATTCATGGAAGAAAAGAAGCCACCGATAAAGACACTGTTGGTTTTGTCACCTTTTATGTAGTTCGACAGATTCCTGTATAAGTAACAAATAACGGAGCAGGCAATTTGCAAAACTCCGGACCACAAGTGTTTGCAGTGGAGAACGAACACGCGCTGTTGTCCTTACCGGACAGCGGTATATCTCAGCATTTCATACGAGTTATAGTTCGAAACATAACCTGCCATGAAGAAGAAAAAGGCAGTAAATAAAAGAGTTAAGAATGTATTTATGCTTTTTTGAGCTATTATAAGCGATACTGCTTTAGATGGCACTACTTGACCGCTTACGAGTGATTCGTGCAACCGACCACATTCAACTAATCGAGGCGCTGGAATATGCTGAAGTGAGAGACAGCACCAATACATATGCGAGAACAGTATTTTTTTTTATACGATCTGACATCACATAGCACTTCGGATCCCGGCACTTCTTGCATTCGATTCATTTCATCGCACCCACCATCTACTAAGCTCTTCACGTTCTTCATGTGTGTGTTCGGCTGTTGCTTGAAAATTATTGTCTTCTTCATGAATGTCATTGAATGCTAGTCGACTCGACTTCTCCTGGAGTCTTACTGTAGTCCAGCTAATGCTCCTAGGTCCTGCAGTTATTCGTCCTTGTGGATCGGAGTGAGCGAATTGGTCTGACGCAAACATGGTTGTAATTTTCTCACCTGAAGGTGTAAAAAAATTTGATGGCCTTGGGAGGTCTAAACAGCACCTTGTGTATATCATCGGATAGTATCTTTACCGCAAATCTAATGCTCTCTGTACCACAATGTGGTTGCAAGGGCAGTGCTAGCGGTGCCGAATATTACGATCACGGTTTCGTTCCGAACCCACCTGCACCTCTTTGTTACCACACTTCTCTAGAAAAGTCGTTCTCTACGATTCAAGTGGGAACGATCTAGCCCGGCTATCTCGAGACCTCAGGGAAAATCATCTCGACCACTACTCAATGACATCCATGGCGAAAAGAAAGTGCTCAAGTAGCAATCAAAGCCAAAGTTTTTTGGATCATCGTGAATGATGGATGCGAAGAAACGAATGTAATGGAAGAAGTGCTGGTGATCGCACAGTAGATGTGAACAGGAGACGTGTCTATCAACGATCCCTACTACAGCATTACTCGCGCATTATAAATTTCACTTGTATCACTTGTCGTCCCCTTGATCGTCGACTGACTCGAGCCGGTGCCAGCAAATGTTCCATTTTTCCCTGCCACGTACAAGAGTACCCCAGCGGGTTCTCTTCGCTATAGGGACTCGATGAGCAGCATACTTTTTTTCGAGGGTTTTCATGAAGAACTCTCATCACTGGGTTGGTGGTTTCCCTGCAGTAAGTTTGATATCCAGAGGAATCCAGTCACTTACTGCTCCTGTCCATCAGTTTTCGTTCATAAGCATCACGTATTCAGCCCAGCGGCATCTTTGATTTTTCATCCTTGACGCAGGTCAGAGCTTCGGATCCTTTCCCTCACTTATGTGACATGGAATACTCCTGGCATCGTGCATTCGACTGCACGTTCGCTGAGTGATCTTTCATCTTTCTTACGCAGCTATCAGGTTTTGGACGTACACATTAAGGAAGAATCGTAGAATCGAAAAGGTGGGCAGCAGTTGGGTTTTCTTTGTTCTCTTCGTTAAATCCTCTGTGATCTTGAAAACTCCCCAGGCCGCTCGTTTCCTCCTACTCAACTCTGCAGCTAATTTGTTCATCTTGTTGATTTCCGACTTAAATATGTAGCTGGAGCATTCGGAGATATTCATTCCGCTGAGCGTGAATGGGGCGTACGAAACCACTCCGTTCTCATCGAAGACCAATCTTTCCACAGGCTTTATCAAAGTCGTCAAATATACGTTACGCTTGGCTGATGTTTGGTGTTATAAGGACGATGTCATCAGCAAAGCAAAGATGGTGTGATTGCCGAGCATCGATTTTTCCACTTCCATGTTGTCGCATTCCAATGTTCGGCCTGGAGGAAGTCAGTGAATAAGTTAGGCGAGGTGGAATCATCTTGCTTAACCCTCTTTTCACGGACTGAGTTAAAAGCATTCCTTGAATTGATGAAAGTCGCTCAGAGCCGCTTTCTTTGAGTCCTACGCTTCCATTTGAATTCTGTGCGGTCGGTCTTCACTCGACATACTCAGTGGAAGAGGGATTGATCATCGCCGAAAGCTTTACCTTTTATCCTTTAATGCTTTGCTGCAAATTGGGAAAGATATCTTTCTTGGCGCCCGACGTGGCTGCTGCAAGGCTCTCCTATTCAATTCGTCACCACTTGTGATCACCGAACTCTGTGAAACGAAGGATCATTTATTGCTTTGACGGTATGTGCTTTCCATTGTGGACAAGATTCATCGATTGGAGTTCGATCCAGATGATGGTGCTGAACTCGTTTTTGTAGCTGAGTATGAGCATCAGGAACGAATGAACACCCGCCATTGCAACAGAGTTCGATATTAAAAGGAGCATGATTTCAATTTCTGGAGAGCTCTAGGAAATTAACCACATTGATACGCTGGCAAATGGCAAAGGTGATTAGCAGGTGGCAAAAATGAAAAGATGAGACATGGTTAATTCTAGTGAGTTATAAACGATTAAGGTTGGTGTAAAAGCCTTACTGAACGTTTATTTAGTAATGCAATGTATGAGCAAAAAATCAGGGATAAAAATAGCAAGGTTATGCGGAAAATAGGAGAAAGTGTTTAGATATTCAGCTACGGGGCCGATATATGAGCTGTTTAATTAAATATCGTGAAAAAGTCCTTAAGATATTTCTGTGCTATAGTTCGACCATCTTCGAATTCATCTTCATTATCACCTGCATCACCTAGAGACCCGTTGATCGTCGAGTGACTCGAGCGGGTGCCAGTAAATCTTCCATTTTTCACTGTCGCGTGCAAGAGTAGCCCAGTGGCTTCTGCTCACTCTAGGGACTCGTTGGGCATCATATATTCCTTCTAGGCTCTTCGTGAATAACTCTGACCATTGGGTCGGTGGTTTTCCTGCAGTACGTTTGACATCCCGAGGAATCCAGTCACTAACAGTTCTTGTCCATCGGTTGTCATTCGTACGCATTACGTGTCGGGCCCAGCCTTCATTCGTACGCATTACGTGTCGGGCCCAGCCTATCTTCGACTGTTTGGCGTACAGAACGGCATCTTTAATTTTTATTGTTGACGCAGATAGGAGCTTTGGATCCCATCCCTTACTTGTGTGGAACGGGATACTCCTAGCTCCTAGCATCGTCCTTTCGGCTGTGCGTTCGATAACGCTGAGTGACCTTTCATCCTGCTTACGCAGCGACCAGGTTTCCGACGCATACGTTAGGCCAGCAAATACCGTTGAGTCGAAAAGGTGGGCATAGAATCGGGTGCTCTTTGTTCTCTTCACTACATTCCCGATGCTCATGAAAGCTCCCTAAGACGCTCGTTCCCTACTGCTCAGCTCTGGAGCTAGGTCGTTCAACATATTGATTTCCCGACCTAAATAGATATAACTGGAGCATTCAGAGACATTCGTTGCGTTGAGCGTGAATGGCTCATACAAAATCAATCCGTTCTTCATGAACATCGTTTTTGTGAGATTCAGTCGAAGACCAATCTTTCCACAGGCTTTATCAAAGTCGTCAAACGTACGTTCCGCTTGGCTAATGTTTGGTGTCATAAGGACGATATCATCAGCAAAGCGAAGATGATGTAACTGCCGACCATCGATTTCCACTCTCATATTATTTCATTCTAATGTTCGCATGACGTTCTGGAGTGTGGCAGTAAATAATTTTGGCGTGATGGTATCGCCTTGCCTAACTCCTCTTTTGACGTCAATGTTAATATCGTTGTAGAATGGTGATATCTTGGTTGTGAAATTTTTGTACAGCTCACGAATAATCTTTCTGTACTGAGTAGGGACTCCTTGACTATCAAGGGCTACCATGACTGCTTCTATGTCAACTAAATCAAAGGCCTTCTCTAAAACTAAATCCTTTTCGAAACCCTGCTTGCTCACATGGCTGTCCTTCGTCTAGTGTTGTGTGAATCCTGTTTAGGATGACTCGAATGAAAGGTTTATCGACAACAAACAGTAAGCAGATTGGGCTATAGTTGCCGATACCGTCTAGGTCACCTTTCCTTAACAGTAGCACGCTATTGCTGGTCTTCCACTGAGTAGGGACCTTGTGTTCAGAAGGGTAACGTGTGAAGAGCCGAGAAAGTGTGTTTACGAGGATTGGCGGAAGGTTCTTCAGGTGTTCCTGTCTTATCCTGTCCGGTCTTGGTATTGTTCGATTTTTTACCGAAAAAATAGCTTGTCGGTTTTCGGAAGTGAGAACCGGTTTTACAACATATTCATCCTCTTTTATTTCATATGTGGGAGCGATGATGTGGCTATGGAAGAGATCTAAGTAGTATCCGTGAATGATTTTCTCCATTGCCTTTCTGGACGCTGTAACTGCTCCGTCTGGAGGTCGGAGTGCAATCATCTTGGTTCTGTAATTGGCGAAGATTGATGGATTTTTCGAATGTTCTTCCCGGTCTCTGCAGCTTCGACCATAACTGCTACTCTTCTCTCTTTGAGATCTTCTTTTATCGCTTATCTGCATTGTTTTTCAAGTTCCCACGTGAGTTTGCGGTTACCTGCAGCTCGCGAGATTCCATGCTGGTGTATCAGTTCGGGTTATTAGATACAGACACCCTTCGTGGCTTTCGAATTCTCAGCTTCCATTGCTTTCACGTGAAGATATTGAAAGAGCCTATCGTATACCATGTCGATGTTATCGAGAACGGCACCTTCTCAACACCCGACTGAAGAACTGGGTAAATCCCAGTTCACGGTGGTTTTGGGAATTCGTTTTTTGAATTTAGCGGCTTTTTCTCCCTTCTGCAAGAAATGAAATCTTTTACGAAGCAGGCGATTGTCTGATCTGATGTAAAATTTCTGGACAACAGCAATATCTGTTAAACAAAACCTTCGATTTACTATGGTGTAGTCTATTTCGTTATAATACTCTCCACTAGAAGGCTCCCACGTCCAGCGTTGAGAGTGGGTCTTTTGGAATTGTTGGTTGCCATAAATGGTCTTGATTATCGTGATGAACTCAGAAAACCGCTCACTCTTCTCGTTCCATTCCAGTTCGTTGGTACTAATTTGACGTTCTTCAGACGTTATTCTGGGTATGACTAAGTCCTCTATCGAGGACTGGGATGCAACTGTACATGCATTGTAGCTAAAGATAGTCGCCTTATCCCTCTACTATTTAGGCAGTCTAGAATGGCCGTCAGATTTTAGCGGCCTCTCTATACTCGTCCTACCCATCGCTGCCGTATCGGTGGGTCTTTCGGGTTCACGGAAATGAGGCCCGTTTCTTCTACTATTTTTAGCTTTTTGATACCCACATATTGCTTGCTGGGCTCTGAACGTGAGGGCTGGATATACTCACAGGTAACTTGCAATGCTTCCCTAGGACATGGAGCTTATTTGTTGGACGCGACTCCTAATCGCCTCCCATATATTTCCCTGTTACTTGATGGCAGAATTTTCGCCGAATTAGCTTGTAAGATACAATCCGCATAAACTAGAACACGCACATACACACGCATGCATGAATGCGTCCTCTTAAGTACAGAACGTATGTAGCAATTCGGTGCAGGAAAAGCGGGATGGGATCCCATCCCCTGGATTCACCTCCGCGATTAATCCGCTATCCGCCATCTGGGGACGCGCTAGGTTGCTTCGCGACTGTCCAGCAAGAGATTTCTCCATGAAGGAGATCCGTGGAATTATAAATATAAGGATGGTGATAGTATAAATACATGCGGTTTCACCTTGTGAAAGTTAATTTATCAATCACGTTTAAATAGAGTAGAAATATGACTATAGCGACGAATTGTTTAAGGAACATATGGACGAGGATAATATCCGTTTTATTATAATCGATAATGTGCATGAGATGTTCGACGACCGTTTGATAGGCGAAAAGTCAGGGCGTAAGTTTTGCGATCCGATGAAATGTTCTTTTACTGTTACTAAACATTTTTATCTGAGAAAGAAAGAGAAAAATTGATATAATCACAAGAATGCTGACATATCTCCTAAACTCGGAACCAGATGTGGTCTTCGATCCTGCGATAACCGTTTCAGGGGCTCACGTGATATCCGAAACACTAACCGATGCCCAAGCCTTCCCGTTCTCTCAGCAGTGTTTGAGTTCCATTGGTGTTATCATTGTGCTGTTCCCATTGACGGTTGATTGTTGATAGCACCGATAGAGTAAAAACATGGCTGAGACAAAGGCAAAGTAAGGGCCTCGGTCGGTGTGCAAGACAGCAAGTATGATCTCAGTGAGGGAAGTCGTGGGTTCGAAGCCCACATAGTTCCTAGTTTCACTTATATCTCAGCATCCTATGCTGTTGTACTTCATATCATACCTTACCACAAAAAAGAATAGGCAGCAAACAAAAAGTTGAAAATTAATGTAGTTGTGAATAATGGGCGTTGTTGAGCATTACAAAAATGAGCCACTAAGAGACATTTAAAAAAGAGCTTTGGTCGAGAGAGTTTACCTTGCCTTTGTGGATTGGAGCGAGCTTTTTCTGGCCAACTAAAGTGTCCGACCCTAGTGGGTTGGAAGAGTTGGTTAACCCGTTGGGCAGGATGGAGCCAATGAACGCCTGTCTATTGTAAGGCACCTCTAACCCTTGTACTAAACGCATCCTGTAAAAATAATAATGCATAATATAATATAAGAACACTTATTCCTTGCTCAGATTGCACTATTAGGATCTGCAATTACAAATGTTGTCCTTGGCCAAATCAACGTCCTGACAGATATTGGCTTTACGGTTGTCACAACCAGTTGTGTAAGTTGTTTTTATTTTATGCGCTCTTTCTGCACGTGTGGGGCTCCGAATTAGTAGATTTGTAAACAGAATTTCGCTTCTACCCTTTAGATCTGCCATTTTCAACAATGAAAATAGTGAACTATTGAGTTGATTATATATGGATTCACTTTTAGTGCTCTCAAAATGAAGAGAAAAATGAGCCGATCAAGCTGTGGAAACAGCAAATGAGAGGGCGAATTTTTATCGAGGAGGTTGATGGAGACGTGAGAACCATACAGTCCCTAGATGTGAGTATGGTCACAACTTATTGTGTTGCTTCGCGAAACACCAAAATGATAACAAAGTGCTCGGCGTTGATTAATCCCTTCGGGATATGCCATGCATTCGACTTCATTTGGCATCGTAGAGATTATCCAATATATATCTGACGAACACAATCACTGCACGAGGCTAACGATGTATCAAACAACCGCAAGCAAATGTTTTACCCACCTCCCCCAAACCAGTCGGGTATCAGTTTGCCAACTCCGCCTGAATGGAGGACTTGGTTATCCCGATGTGTGGGCACGAACCAAGGCTCACGTAGATTACAACTCATCTCTGCCCTACGCCAGCTGTATCTCTTCAAATATTATCTTACGATGATTTGCTGTTTCCATGGTTTCGGGGTGTTGTGGATATTTTTTCTTTGAACTGCAACAAAATCCTTTTTTGACTGCGTGGAGTGACAGCTGCCTTACTTTCTGTGTTCGCCTTTTTGGCATGTACCCTCAGATTTTGAGGGCCATTATTATTTCCACTGTTTTTTTTTGACGAATTTTTTAACCTAATATAACCAAACTAGCATGCAGTGTACGCAAGGGCGCCTTTGCGTTTCGGCCCAATGGAGCCCTCCATCCTTTCGGGTTCTTCAACTTCGTGTCAGACTTGTTTAGGAGGATCAAAACTCTGACGTAATACATCGTAAGTTTCCGTAGGCCAGATATGTATTTAGCTACCTCCATGGTGCTACGAATGGGGTTGGTCATCTGCATGCGTATCCCTAAAGAATTTATCGTCATTCTACATTTTTTTAATCCAACCAGTAAGACACTCAGTGGTAGGATAACACTTCGTAAGTTATTGGATTTATTGAAAACTTCTTACACTTGGTTATTGCCTGAGGTGTATAAAGTTGAATGTATCAACGGTTTAGCGCATTCGCGACAATACAGATTTTCCAATAATTACCGGTAATTTTCCTGTAAATAAAGCACCACTTGAGAACCTGAAAACTTGCCAGATCTATGGGAGAGACTTTTCTTTAAGCTAATGGTTTCTCCTTGGGAATGCACGAGATTGTCAATAAAAGTCTTATTCCACACAGACGTTTGGGCGGTTTGGTCTTCTTAAGAGCCTGGAAAGATCAATTTGTTATTATGCTACACCGCACAAACATTGTTACCGGCACTTGGTATTACTCTACAGCTAACATTAAGTCTATTTATCCATTTTTCAAATAGCAATCCGTTCTATACGACAACCGCGACTTTTCATTGTAGTTTTAAACAGAGGAGCAGTTAATTAGCAGTTAAAGCTTTTCCACGCTAAATAAACGGCCGGAAAGAAAATGAGTCACGTATGAGACTCATCCCAACCAACTCGCACTGTACCGCGTGAGTCAGATATGACTCACCTCGTTGTCAATCTGTTGGCGGTGATTTCGGGGGCGCTGTCGCGTTCTGGGTTCTGCTTACCACTGCAGATATGACTACAGACGAGAACCAAAATGGATGTTATAGGTTGCTAAAGTCGTATAATCTAATATCATCAACTAGAGTATAAAAACTATATCTTGTTGACAAAGAACTGTAGATTTTAATGGTTTCTACCTTAAAATATAGTTAGTCC